GTTACATCTCCCCGATAATTTTGCTGAAGTGCCAAAGGACAGAGGTGATGATATTAATGATGACGAAACAGAAGATAGCGATGAGTCAGAATGATTCTTGAGTTACATCGTTTTTTTCAAATTTTTACTCTTTCCATGTATATTTCCAGTAAATCTATGATTTTAATTATTACTTAGAATATGAAACTATTAATTTTTCAGTAGAAAATATTTTTGTCGTCCTAAAGTAGACAATTTGCCGTATGTGCGGCGGTTACATTGTAGAAAAATAAAGTAAAGAGCTTTTTTAGGCTAGCCGCACAGTGGAAGCGTCAACATACGAATTTGGAGAAGTAGTAGTATTTAACTTATACAGGGTTGTTCACCACATACGACACGGAGTATTGTAGCTAAACGACTAGATTTTTACAAATTGTAAGTTTTGGGTTCGTTGAAGGACTATGAGAGCTACAATCTAAAAATATTTTTACAAGATACAGAGTGTCCCAAATAAATAAAAAATATCTAAGTTGTATTTTTTTAAATGGAACACCCTGTATATTATTACATTTTTAGTTTCTACGATTAAAATAAAGGTAAATTTGATTAAGGTTTATTACACTTAAACCTCACCGTTTTTGAAATATTTTCAATTTTGTGAAATTGCAGTAAAAATTTTAAGGCTTCATTTCTCCAAGGGCATCAAAGTTTTTAATACTAAATATTTACTGAAGTTTATTTATTGATCAGTAATTGTGTTGCAATAATAAAAATAATACTACCTTATACAGAGTGTCTAAAAATTTATTTTAAATAATTTATAGCTTTAAACGCCAATAACTTGTTTAATTTAAATGGAACGCCCTGTATATTTTAGGAGAATCAGATGCACAATTTAATTGTCTATCAAATTGTATTATACCATTTTTACCTATCCCTTCAAGTTTTCGTAGAAAATGCATCTTCTTATAATTTAGACCTCATTCATCAATATACCCATGGAATATTGACATTTTATTATTGATACCCATGGAATATTGACATCATATATTGACATTCTAGTAATAGTATCGTTTTGCTAAAAACAATAATGTTGTATGCAAAAAGAAAACTATTTAAATCTTTATAAAAGAGTATACCATTAATTAAATATAGCACCATTATTTCCATATACTAATTAATTACATACTTAATTGTATTCGTTAATAAATTATTCTAAATAAATGTGGATTTGAGTCAGAAATAAATATAATAATAAGTTATGAAAATGAAAGTCTCTGTTGTTATAAATAAGCATTTATTAAAAAATGAAATATCATTTTTAAGGTGTTACTTTTTATCACACTGTCTAATACCCATACAAAATTCAGTTTTTTTAGTATTTGGAACAATTATTATTAATCAATGCAGTCAGTTAATGTAGTTTGAATACTGGAATCATATTAATTGGTCCTTTTTAACAAATATTTAAACAGTTTTTTTTATTTTTTAATGAAATAAACGAATTATATCCACAATATTAGTATCTGTACTCTTTAAAAATTTGGTACATCTTTAAAAATAATCTAAAATGTCAATATTCCATGGGTATATTGATAAATAAATTCTAAATTACAAGAAAATGCATTTTCTACGGAAACTTAAAGAGATAGGTAAAAAATGGTATAATATAATTTGATAGACAATTAAATTGTGCATCTGATTCTCGTAAAATATACAGGGTGTTCAGAAAACTTCTATCTATTTCTGTATTGTAACGGAATTTAAAATTATTTCTTTATTTTCGAGTAAATTTAGTCCAAACATAAGGTATATTTTCTTATTGTTTGACCATCAAAATCTTATAAATAAAGAAGTTAACTAAAAATGTGCTAGAATACCGACATAGTATAATCCTTTATCTTTAATTTCCTTCTTCATTTGTGTAAAAATACCTAGCCAGTTTAGTGAAATGGGCTTTTAAAGTGTTTTGGTGTATGGTATAAACTGGTGTTTTATTTTTCCATATCTATATTCTTTTTATAGCATTCCATTTTATTTATTTTTTTTGTATTTTTAAATTGCAAAAATATTTTCGAACAACAGGCTGGATTTTGATGTCGGGCTTTCATAAAATTTATAAAAGCAAAAATTCTCGTTGACGTCCCGAATTAATATTTATTGATTTTATTTGTTTCGATAAATAATTCGTTTCTGTTCCCATTTTGTATTTTTATTCGAAAATGTATTCCGATTTCTGCTATTTTCAATTATCCCCGTTGCCTGTTTCTTTCTTTCTCTGCCAGACCGACCGAGCGCATTTTAACAAATTACTTTTCGAAATATAAATCTCTAATATTATTATATTTTATTTTATAATAAAGGGCTGACGTTTATAAATCTCAATTAACGAAATGAGTATGAACTTTTAGATTAAAATCGGTTCATTATCTTGTCAATTTTAATCCCCTTTGTTTTGTTTAGTTTATCGTCTGTCATTTTGAGTTCCCTTCTCAAATCTACTTGTTTTTGTTTATAAGCCTTTGAGAATTTAATACTATAATGTACTACAGTATTTTATCAAATAAGAATCAGATAAGGCCATATACAAACCAAGCGACAGGACATCAGCATCCAAGCCAAAGTGTGTTTGCATTTTGGGAAACATGTTTCAGAGCTATCGTAACCCTTCCAGGTGCATAACCCAACACATGCATTTAAATAGATGGCGGCATCTTCAAATGACATGTTGCTTCGTCTGTACTGGACCTTATGGATCTCTAAACATTTTCCACTGGCGAGTAGCCTCGCTTGTTTAGCGTTTGGTCACAAATTACCTATAACAGATGCGAAAGAAAGCGACTGCATCGGAAACCGCTCGGCAAACCCGACACGCCTATTGAGTGGTGTAAATACACCAGTCGTTTAGTCCGGAAACCTATGCTGTGTCGTATTCGCTTGCTGGAATGACATAGTGCGTGGTTATACTTTTGAACTGTTATTTCTAAGTTTTGGTAATTTATATATCTTATTTAAAATGGGATGCAAATGTGTTTATTTATAAAGAAAAAAAAATATTTATAGTATAAAAAATTAATTTATTTAACAAAATTTAATTAAAAATGTGACAAAATAGTTACCTTTCTATTGGTTCTATCGGACTTTTTTCAACTATATAAATCTTTATTTGTAAACTTTAATACATCAAATATTTTCAATCTAATAAATCATTTAATGATGTAAATAAGAGGAAATTTCTCACATGGGTGGTCAAATTTTATAGTTTTCACTCGAGTTTTCATTATATCAAACAGCCTCTGAGAAATGTTTTCAACTCAAAATGCCTTTAATTATGTTTGACTACATCATTAAAAAGGGTCTTCAAATACATCAATGTGATATTTGTCTAAAATTTGCGAAAGAATCCGAATCTCTGGATAACTCGAAATTATTTACCCATTTAAAAGCCTTTGATCATGAAAATGGAAAAATTTGTTAATTTTATTTACAGGCTGGAAAAATTATTTATATTAAATTTTGATGAGTTTTGCACTGAAGAAAACATTCAGAGGCTGTTTGATATAATGAAAACTATAGAATTTGACCACCTATGTGAGAAATTTCCTCTTATTTATATCATTAAATTATTTATTAGATTGAAAATATTTTATGCATTAAAGTTTACAAAAAATAAAGATTTATATAGTCGAAAAAAGTCCGATAGAACTAATAGAAATGTAACTATTTTGTCACATCTTTAATTAAATTTTGTTAAATAAATTAATTTTTTATACTATAAATATCTTTTTTTTCCTAATCTCCGACGAGCTGATATAATATGACGAGCAATCTATTAAATTACTGTGAGATTATACAGAAAAGTCCACAGACTTCGAGGCATAGAAAAATCAAGTCCATTTAGCGTGTGTCCTAATTTTGACAAGTTTTCAAAAATGACAGTTTTGTTTAGACTGACGTTTAATTTCACCTGACTTCTCGGTGAATTATTTCTTTTTATGGGGGTACATAAAATCTAAAATTTACGGCCATGAAGAAATTCAAAACTTGGAGCAGTTAAGGCAGAAAATATTTAATGCCTTTGACACTGTCACCCCTGATATGTTATCCAATGTGAGGAGGGTTTTATGATCGTTTGGGTTATTGTTTAATGCAAGAGGGAGGCACTTTTGAACAATTTTTGCAATTTTTAAATTTCATTATCCTGTTTTTTTTACCGTTTACCCATTACCTACCTTGACGAACATGGAAAAACGAAGGTCCTTTCAGGACCACAAATATTTTGATTGAGAAAATTGGTAACTTTTTTTGGATTAAAAACAAAAGTTGATAATATAATACCAATTTAAAAGTGTTTTGGTAGTTTTAATACACACTATGATATAAAATTTATTATTATTATAATGTACATTATTAATACTATTGTTCATTCGAAATGGCATTAAGGCCCAATTGCAACAATGATTTAAATTTTTCTTAAAGATAAGTAGAGCTTAGAATGAGCTGTTTTTATATTTACTTTAATATTCACCTTAAATGAGGAAATTTGACTGATACAATTTTTGAATTTGAATTGTTTTTAATGATACTAACAATTTTAGTTCAATTTTTAATAAAATTTATTTAATATTAATAGAAATCCAAGAGATTTGAAACCTCTTTTAGCGATTTATAACATTCTCAAATGAATTACAGGTGCCCTTATTTTCTATGAAAATTACACAGCTTTTTTCATAGTCGCTGCAGTTGCTATAGCTATAAAAAACTAATTTTTAAGGTGTGAAAATTGCGACACACGCTAAATGGACTTGATTTTTCGTATGTCTCGAAGTCTGTGGACCTTTTTGTATGCCTCGATAACATATTGGTGCAGATTATTTTCACCCAAACAATACATTGATGCGGATTGTCTATGAACTCTTTCTGAAGGTCACAGAAACCTCAACGCGTAATTCGGTGTTCTTTCGCATCTGTTGTAGTTAATTTGTGGTTTGGTGTATGGTATTTTTAATGTTAGTGCTTACCTCTGTTGTGACCAAGGCGCACAATGCCGCTACACAAATGGCCAAGGTCCAGCCTCTGACTGACCGCGACCACGCCCATACCCTGGCCATTACGTCACGCACCCAGCGGGCGCTAAGCCATCATTGCCTGAGGCTGTGGGCCCTGCTCATGCACACGATCTCTATCTGAAACAAACAACACAAATAGTCTTTAAATATACAGGGTTGTTCACCACATACGACACGGAGTATTGTAGCTAAACGATGAGATTTTTACAAATTTTAAGTCTTGGGTTCGATGAAGGACTATTAGAAGATACAGAGTGTCCCAAATAAGTAAAAAATATCAAAGTTGTATTTTTTTAAATGGAACACCCTGTATATTATTGCATTTTTAGTTTCTACGATTAAAATAAAGGTAAATTTGATTAAGGTTTATTATACTTAAACCTTACCGTTTTTGAAATATTTACAATTTTGTGAAATTGCAGTAAAAATTTTAAGGCTTCATTCCTCCAAGGGTACCAAAGTTTTTAATACTAAATATTTACTGAAGTTTATTTATTGATCAGTTATTGTGTTGCAATAATAAAAATAATACTACCTTATACAGAGTGTCTAAAAATTTATTTTAAATAATTATTACCTTCAAACGGCAATAACGTGTTTAAGTTAAATGGAACACCCTATATATTTTACGAGAATCAGATGCACAATTTAATTGTCTATCAAATTATATTATACCATTTTTTACCTACCTCTTTAAGTTTCCGTAGAAAATGCATTTTCTTGTAATTTAGATTTTATTTATCAATATACCCATGGAATATTGACATTTTAGATTATTTTTAAAGATGTACCAAATTTTTAAAGAGTACAGATACTAATATTTTGGATATAATTCGTTTATTTCATTAAAAAATAAAAAAAACTGTTTAAATATTTGTTAAAGAGGGCCAATTAATATGATTCCAGTATTCAAACTGCATTAACTGACTGCATTGATTAATAATAATTGTTCCAAATACTAAAAAAACTGAATTTTGTATGGGTATTAGACAGTGTGATAAAAAGTAACACCTTAAAAATGATATTTCATTTTTTAATAAATGCTTATTTATAACAACAGAGACTTTAATTTTGACAACTTATTATTATATTGATTTCTGACTCAAATCCACATTTATTTAGAATAATTTATTAACGAATACAATTAAGTATGTAATTAATTAGTATACGGGCGGAAATAATGGTGCTATATTTAATTAATGGTATACTCTTTTATAAAGATTTAAATAGATTTCTTTTTGCATACAACATTATTGTTTTTAGCAAAACGATAATGTTACTAGAATGTCAATATATGATGTCAATATTCCATGGGTATATTGATGAATGAGGTCTAAATTATAAGAAAATGCATTTTCTACGAAAACTTGAAGGGATAGGTAAAAATGGTATAATACAGTTTGATAGACAATTAAATTGTGCATCTGATTCTCATAAAATATACAGAGCGTTCCATTTAAATTAAACAAGTTATTGGCGTTTAAAGCTATAAATTATTTAAAATAAATTTTTAGACACTCTGTATAAGGTAGTATTATTTTTATTATTGCAACACAATAACTGATCAATAAATAAACTTCAGTAAATATTTAGTATTAAAAACTTTGGTACCCTTGGAGGAATGAAGCCTTAAAATTTTTACTGCAATTTCACAAAATTGAAAATATTTCAAAAACGGTAAGGTTTAAGTGTAATAAACCTTAATCAAATTTACCTTTATTTTAATCGTAGAAACTAAAAATGTAATAATATACAGGGTGTTCTATTTAAAAAAATACAACTTTTACAACAATATTTTTTACTTATTTGGGACACTCTGTATCTTGTAAATTATTTTCAAATTGTACCTCTAATAGTCCTTCATCGAACCCAAAATTTGAAATTTGTAAAAATATAATCGTTTAGCTACAATACTCCGTGTTGTATGTGGTGAACAACCCTGTATAAACATTAATAGTAATGAGTATTGTAGCACATTTATTTGAATTAGTACCGTATGACCGAAAAAAAAACGTCATCAAAAACGACTGGGGAGTGACAAGGAATGCAAAAAATCTGTTTGTATTTGTAGGTATTTTTGCAGCATGTCCCCGGATTGTCTTTACAAGAGGAACATATTTTTTTATTATTGACATTTTGAAAAGAATGCATTCTTGATGGGCCGTCTGGCTGCCGGTAGACTACTGCGGTTTACTACTGCGTATCACATCTGTAGAGGGTATCCCATTTTCGTGTGTTTTATGGGATATCTCGTTTATGAATAGACATACAATGATGCGATTCTCAAATTATTTTGCTACTTTTTTATGAACCTAAATACGCTACACATATGTTTGTCCTAGCCTCCTTAGTTCCTGAAATACAGGGCTAACTTGTGATGCGCAGTAGTGAACAGATGTTAAAACAGATACGATGCGCAGTAGTAAACGCAACAGCTTTCTTAAAATTCTCTCTCGAAAACGTTGTTAGCTCTTACTATAAGTAGAACAGCGAAATCGTTATGGAAATGAAAATATAAATGACATCTCATGAACGGAGGCATGAAAATGCAATAAAATAAAAACTGCGTAATTTTCTAACCAATCGAAATTTTTAAATTCAAACAAGGAAATTAATATCGTATCATCGTATCGTCGGATAACGGATGCATGAAAACCAAGCTTTATACTTTTCCAAATTTCCCCAACGTTTTAGAGAAAATTAAGAAAAACACGAAAATATCTTTGAATTTTTTAAATATAGAAAGAGGAAGTCTTGGCCGTTCAATTATAACAAAAACTTTCTTGGGGATAACCCGGTCTGAAGGCATAAAATTAAAAATTGAATTTTTTTAAATAATTTTTGATTAAAACCACACTCTGTATGCTCTACTAGCTCGTAGAGAAAGCAGAGCACCTTAAATGCTTCCGAGAGCAACATTGTTGGCACAATGTCTTTTACGATCTCGAAATATTTAAAGAGCTCTCAAAGCTAGAGGGAACGTGCAGCATAAGTCATTAAAAAAAGGAAATATTACCCTGGAGATGTAATTCACTTGCATTTTATAACGTAATAACTCTTTCATGGGTTTTTAATTTTTGTTGCTTGGCTTTTCTTCAAAACAATGGAACAAAGTAGTGTATTAATTACGTTTAGTTCCTCTTTTTATTATACTTTCATTAATTTTTTTTTTCATAGTAACTGTTAAAATTGCCTTATATCTATCAAAAATAGTAGATAAAATAGTACTTTAACCGCAAGGGTAGATTAAATGATACTTTAACAGCAAGGATAGGTTAAAAACTTTTTTTTAATTTCTTATCGCACATTTTTTAATTGTTTCCATTTTTAAAAATTTTTGTATTCCTTTTCTCTCTCATATCGCTAAGAGACGTGGAAGGGAATATAGCAGATTTGTCGCAGTTGACCGGTCGACCCAATCAATACCTCTGTCAGTACTTAAAGTTCTAGGGAAAGGTGTACGTCATGCGTTCAGCTTCACGACTTAATTACGTCTCGTGAAACTTGATTTGTTTATTTATTAACGAGTCGTTGTAATTTTCCCTATAGCTTGAATTATTTTAAGTGCAAGCTAAAAACACTTGCATTTTTGGTAAAAATAAGTGGAATTGAGTGGGTGTTCGATAGTGGTTGCGCTATTAGAACTCTGAATTCAAAAATCGACATCTCGAAATCTATTAGAAATAATAGATTGTAGTTTTTTCAAGAACTTTGTTTAACGATAAACATTTTCTCCTAAAAATCCTAACTACTTTTATGTAGCATATCCTATACCTAATTTGAAATAAGATAGTTGAACCACGCCCAGATTTTTTGAAGCACTTTTTATATGCGAAATAGACCTTTTTGGCAAATTTATCCAAAACGACTTTCATTTGAGACAGTTTTCGGAAACGTCAAATAAAAAAGATAAAGGGGGTGTCAATGTATAAAAGAAAACCCTAAGTATACTAATCCAATCGAACTTTTATTCAAGATTGTGTGTCATTTGAATAAGTTGGGTCTCTAATAATACCAGACAATATGTGAATAATATTTTATTATTATATTTTAAATAAGTAACAATATTCTGAGACTTAAACAATGACGATTTCGAAAATAACAGAACTTATACCTATTAAAAATATCTAAATTTTATTTTACCACCTACTATTTACTGATATTTTGTTTTACAACAGCTGGAAGCAATGGTCACGAAGTGCACATTTTTAAATCTGAAAGAAAAATCCATTTCATTTAATTTAAAAAATTAGGTACTGTCAAAATTTGTCAATTTGTCAAAAAATGTCATTTGACATTTATGACATACCTCTTCGGAAATCTTGAGAAAAATTAAGTAACTTTATATTTCAAGTTCTTCTCTAGCTACTATAACAATTAATTTATGAGAAGTATCGACATAAAGGATCTTACTATACACATACGCATGGAGACATACGCTTCCAATAAGTTTAAAGTAGCGATTTTTTGCGATTTTTTTGACTTAACTTTTCTAAGATAGAATATATGCCACTATCAAAAAAACCTTAAATGATTATGTTCTACTTTGACCTTTACCTAGTTTTTATCCAAAAAATCAAAATAAAAGATCCTTTTTTACTTACCTTGACATTAAATTTACCGCAACCGGGAATCTACGTAAAACACATTATGACAATTTCACAATAATTATTGACAGCAAGCTAAGGTCGTCCGATTCAATTGTTATAATACTGTGTCACTTGAATGCAACGCCTACTATTTAAAAAATTGTAGAAAAAAGGCAGTTATTGACACAAATTAACTGAAAATGTAGGTTTTGCGCAAAGTTTGGTTACAGCCCCTCGAAAGAGACTCCGAATATGTTTTTTTGTTAGTTTTATGTGGTTTCCTCTTAACTAATATGTTTCCAATCTAATGTTATTGCCATAAATGCTAACTGTGGATGTTATTTTTTGCAACTTGGTTTGGACATATTGCCTACTGTGCGTCGCATTTCTCTTACTCCGACTTAATAAGATCCCTATGCGATTTACTTCCACATATGTAAATGCCGACCCAAAAGTAACAGTTGCCAGCACGGTATATAGGCTTTCGCCTATTTTATACTAATACAAAATGAAAGGCGGAACAGCAACTTCTTTGTTTTCAATACGCCTTCTTGGCTTTATTATATGATTGCGCTTTTTCTTTTTAAGTGCTGAATAGTCTTCTAGATAAAAACTTTTAGATGTCTGAATAATTTACTTGCAATTTTTTCGCGTCATTTTATATTCGAGTTTATAAGAAAAGTTTTTAGTCAGCAAGTCAGCTTTTATAATTTAATAACTTTGAACAGCATCGACAAGCTAATAATATACCGGTTCTGCCACAAAAATCTGCTGCTATTGGTTAAAAACGACGAATTTTTTCACCATATCATAACATTACAAAATATTAGAACTATTTCAAATAAAAATTTTCAAAATTTGGCAAGAAATCTTATTTTTTGCTATTTATTTGACAGTAACATTGATAAATATCTGTCAATGCAACAGCTTCCTTTTTTATGATATTTTTAATCCAATTCAAAACAAAATATAGATATAAAAGATATATAAACATATTAGTGATAAAGAATGAAGATACTATTAACTGTGTATTTTCTTTCTAAACTTACTTTAAAGATAAACACCCCGTATATAAACCAAACAAAGTTCATAAAAAATCTTATCAATGACCTTCACACTTCCAAGTCAACACGCACTTCTCTATAAGTCCTTAAAATTTACCACACTACACAGACACACATCACAAACAAATGTCCCAAATTCTACCGTAAATTCAAGCCACTTTTTTCAACCAAATCCGCTAAAAATGTATCGATTGATCAATCGCACACCGCTTAGCGTCTCCGCACCACTAATCTCTAGCCTATCAAGAAAAAAAAAACGTCACACACCAACACTATGTACATATATCGTTTACCGAGAATATTTATATAAATGGTTCGTATCCGGTCAGAGAGAATAATAAAAGAGATTCGAGATCGGCAACGGGCAGACCGTTTTGTACTTTAGATTTGGCCACTTGATTTAATTCCTTTATCTTTCCAGTGAGACACACCGCGTACTAGTGACTGTGAATCACAGATTGCTCTTGCTAGAAATTTTCTACCGTTGAAAATAAAGCGCTGATGAGGAAATAATATAATATAAACAGTAACTAAGATTATATATTATTAATCTCTGGTATACAGCATACACCATCGGACAAAAGTAGAGCAACACGTCAAGAAATATTTGCAAATCGCGATTTTTTAATTATACATGCATGATAATGTATACAAATACAATAAATTTAAAAACTACGAAGTAGGCTATGAGTATCGATGACAACAAGAATTTTTACTAACAAAACAAATGAATTTATTTTGACGTTTAGTTTTAAATGCTTAATAGCAACGCGTCAAAAGTAGAGCAACATTCAGATAATTCATTCCAAAGAAGGGTTTTAGCAAAAGTACAGCCCAAAATAATTCTATACTATACTACTCTATACTCTCTTTTTTTTCTCAGGTAAGATTTCGACAGACGATGACAGAAGAAGAGCAGATGACGTCCCATACCAATCTATTTATTTTACTAAAAAAAGTATCTAATAATTTTTAAGTTAACTATGGATGGATTTAAATATAAATCCGTCATACGTCGTCTCTTTTTGTGTTTAACCAGTTTTATTGGTTTATTTCAAAAATGACAGATCGTATTTCAACTTTATTGGTTTGACGGAACGATGAACGACAAACGGGCGCCGATGCGTATGAACTCGCTTTTAGATTTTTGACGCTTGTCAAAGTCTTGCCAAATTAAAGGTTATAATTTTGTGTCAACTTTTGTCAAATACCCTGCGTTTTGGAAGATGATGCATTTTGATTCGTGTTATTATGTGTGTTTTGTGTCTTTTGAAGTCAAGTGGAGGAAAAATCGAGTGAAAATTAACTGTAGACCCAGAGCACCAGTTTATGGTTAATACTCGCTGCCCAGGCAGAAAGTCTTATACACCAATAAAGTTACCATCAATAAAGTTTGTATACCATTTCGTCGTAGATAAGTGCATCTCGTATATGGTAGAAGGATAATACTAAACGCATACTACAAACTGGAGTAGCTGTAAAATATCGACATTACACGATAGGTAAATAATGAATTTTAGTACTGCAGAAAAATAATGTCAAAAGGTACTGGTTTAAAAAAATTAAGATTAAAGTTAATTAATCAACCTTTAAGGTATAAAATTTGGTAAGTGTTATTATTAATAAAATAGTTTGTTTTATTTATGTTGTTTTATTTATTCCTGTGGAATATTACAAATTCCAAATTTGTATTTGTACATAAGTTATATTGATAAATATAATCATAAATGCCGGAAGTTTCATGAAGCTTGGAAGTAAGCAATAGTTCTTTTTTATATTTTTTTGGTATGTGGTGTCTTGTTCTTATTTGTTTTGTATTAACATAACCGTTTTTTATTAAATAAAATAACTCGATTACATTTTTTCAGTTTTATACATTTTTTTCACAATATTTTGAAGTAATCACTTGTCTTATCAGTCAAATTTTGAATATATTAATTTCCTGCTATGTGTTCCAGTTGTACCAACTTATTTCTTTGTAAAATAAAATAAACTACTTTGAAAATAAAATGACAGACACATCTATCACTGTCACGGATCTTCTCGTTGGATAGACTATACGAGGTTTATTTTATGTTTTTTTTTAAACATTTCTATGCTGGATTAGTCATGCCAAGAGGAATTCCAATTTCAAAAGACTTGAAGCAAAGAGTTGTGAATGCATTCATGGAATATAACAAACAAGCCAATATTTCAAGACAGTTTGTGTTACCCCGGTGCAGTGTATCTAAAATAATTTCATCGTATAATAACAGGGGACACTTAGAAAAGTTGCCAAAATCGGGAAGGCCAAAGAAAACAACAATAATGACCGACAGACGAATCAAAAGAATTGCTCAAAATGATCCTTGGAAGTCCGCACCTAGAATTATTGCCGAAATTCCAGAAATTACGGTTGGTATATGAACAGTACAAAGAAGATTGGTAGATGCAAAGTTATTTAGTAGACGTCCAGCCAAAAAGCCGTTAGTTTCGGAAAGAAATAGAGCAGCAAGGTTCGCATTCGCACGTCGGCATTTAAACTGGACCGCCAATGACTGGAAAAAAGTTCTGTTCAGTGATGAAACGCGCTACAAAATATTCAATTCTGATGGAATGAGACGTGTGAGATGACCAATCAATACAAGGTTTAATCCTAAATACGTAACATCTACAATTAAACACGGCAAAGGCAGTGTATTTTTATGGGGTTATTTCTCATGGTGTAGTGTTTTTTAAACAACTACCACTGCGAACGGCAGCTTTTCATCGGAGAGCAGTCGTGGATAAGGTATTTCACTGGAAAGAAAACTAATTAGGAACAATAAACAAAAAAATAGATATTGGGCGCCAGGCATGTACAGAGAAAGAAAACACAGTTGTATAATACTTAAAACTAATGACTATATTTATTCATGATGAATTCTGATGGTAAATAGCATTGTACAGTTTTAATAATTATTATAGTGGTTATTTGTTGAGTAAAACTATGTATGTAAATAATATTAAATATGTTCTATGAAAAGACTATGAAAAAATACAATGCGTGTAACGTTATAGAAGATATAAGAAAAGTAGCATTACTTTATTTAAATTGTTAAATTTTATGCGGTGTTAAATCTGATGTGTTGCAACCTGTAGATTCTAGAATCTATGTCTCGTTATTCATCTGTTAATATAGCGCAATATTATCTATAGAAAGTAATACTATTACAAGGCGTAATATACTGAAACCTAAAATCTAAATCACATTGTAACTACTGCATCGACATAAATGTTCTTAATAATCTAACCACTAAATATAGTCTGTACGATATTATTTAAAATGTACGTTACTGTTTAAGACTGAAAATATAGAAAATCTAAAACATAAAAACTAGAACGTAAATCTACACTTAGCTGTTCTTTATGTAATCTTGCTTCAAACAGTAGCAGCGTGAGGTGGTCTCGCTTCTCTGTACTCAGCCATCCAACACAACCAAAGGGGCCAGAATGAGACACCATAAATTGGTACAGCCGTAACTAACTAGCTTACAGCTGGGAACGAAGCAGCATGGGACTCAAGCTACATCCACGCTGTGGCACTTATATGTAAGAAAAAATCGTTCTTACTGGGGACACTCGTCCACAGGACATCCGTACGTAAGATAATGTCCGTACATAAAACACTACCCGTACCTTGGACACAGTCCGTACCTTGGAATAGTCCGTACCTTGGACACAGTCCGTACTTGGACACAGTCCGTACCTTGGACACAGTCCGTACCTTGGACCATAAAAATATGAAACTCTTGTTTAAAACCAAACAAGGTCTAATAAACAAAATAAACCTACCTCGAAATACTTCCGAGGGCTCAATAAATAATAAACAACATGTCCTTTCTTCCATGTGACATTCTGGAGGACAAAAGAAAAGGGACGCCAACGTGTCAGCAAAACACAAATACAAGTTGGGACATCCGTAACTCTACCCTAAAATATTCAATAATAATATCGAATCTAAAAGGATAATATCTCATCTTTACCTGTTGCTTTGAAATAGCAGCTGATTCAGATTATACAGCAAGATTTAAATAATCACCATTTCTAAAAGCTGGGATAAAACAGAGCGTCAAAACAAAGTGAGGTTAAGCACGGAGAGTTGACAGAAGCGATGTTGACAGCGCGCGCCTTCACAGAATAGTAACAGGGTTGTGTCGAACGATCACAGGGTTGGCGACTAGGGAACGTAAAAATTACGCGTCAAATAAACTATCCGGCCTGAACGAGAGGGAATCCGGTGATGATAGGCCAGACATCATATATTATATATAAAAAAGACATGTAACGAACTAAAAACGTTACAATGGAATGGGATATACACTTTATTAATGACACGATGGACCGATTTGTTTATAGGGATATCATGCAGAATATTATGCTACCTTATGCAGAATGGGAAATGCCAGTGCGTTTTATTTTCAAACAGGGCAACGATCCAAAACACTCTTCACAAGTTGTTCAACAGTGCTTTAGGGAAAATGACGTTCGAGTTTTGCAATGGCCAGCACAATCTCCAGACCTTAACCCCATCGAAAATCTCTGGGAAGAGGTAGAACGTCGTATTCGTACCCAAATGTTTCCAAATAAACAATCCTTGATAGATAAAATTAATGAAGTTTGTACAAATCTTTCCGAAAATGTCATTCAGAAGTTGATTGCTTCAATGCCGCGCCGTTGTCAGCAAGTTATTAATAATAAGTAATGGATATTCTATCAATTACCAATGTATGACTTTCAATTAGTATTGTTCTTAAATGTGTTAAATATTTTTTGTTGAAATAAGACAATAAAATTTGTTGAATACAATTTGTTGCTCTACTTTTGTCGCCCCTATTCTTATCAATTTTTATAATCAATATTATTTACCATTTTTAAACTGATTAAAAGTACACCAAAATAGTGCTAGTACTAAAATAGCACTATAGTAATAGTGTAAGGATAGTGTGTTAGTAAACATAGCCGAAAATCACAACCTAATTATTTTTTTTATTCAAACATGAATAAAAATGAACTTTGTTGCTCTACTTTTGCCCGATAGTGTAAATACATTGAACAGAAACATACGATAGAATATGGCGAGTATCTGCGGTAAAAATTAATAATTTAGTGGGTTGCTATCAGGTGTGATATTGATTTTTCAACCCCTCTGTTTTATACACAACGGACGTGAATGCTTTTATTTAGAAAGATTCTGTAGAAATTGTTCTGCAGTGTCCGTTTTATCTCTCGTTCAAATTCTATTCTCCTATTTCTATAAAAAAGATGTCTACTGTCCACTTGTCACTTTCAGCACATGTTTCCCAATTTGTTAACACCACTAAATAAGATGGTATAAGTGTAAGATTATTTATTTTTTCTAATTTCGGTAAAATACTGGAAACGTCAAATGTTGACGTTTTCTAAATTTCAATACCTCTATTGT